CATCTCTAACAATACCCTTGAGATTCTGTAAGATGCTGCTGAGCCAACTGAATAAGATAATAGAGGCCAACTGAAGTGTAACTTTTGTTGTTTTGCAGTCAGATTATCAGAGGAGCTGTTCTTGGTCGGTTACCTTTGCAGAAGGGATGGCACAGATTCTTTTTCTCTCCTCCCCACTCCAACCCAGTTCCAGAGGGTCTGGATCCAGCAGGTATTCGGTGACCACGACTACCTTGATCGCGGCTGACCCAAGGCCATGCCTGTATAGTACTCAATGACGTCGGGTCTGGGCCAGACAGAGTGAGAGGTCAGGAAATGGTCCCTGGATTGTCCCTCAGGCACCCCCACATCAATAGAGGAGACTCTGTCAGAAACTCGGCCCAAACCTGGCTGAGGAGGCCTATCAAGGGCACTTCTGTGTGGGAAGCACGTGGGCATCCGTCTGGCTCATTCCCAAGTCCACAGATGAAATCAGAGGCCTGGAGAAGAGTACACCTGAGACCTGAAGCTCAGGCCTGGAGGGGTTAGGTTGAAAGCATCTCTTAGGCGGTGCCCTACACGTTGGGCCCAGAGGGCTGGCTGGACACGTGGGAAGGCCACCTGGCCTTGACGCCGCGTGCCGCTGTGTCAGTGCTTTGCCGCCTTGGCGTCGTGCGGCCGATGGTGAGTGAGCGCGCATGGCCGAGGCCGGGGTGGCGGGCAGGCCCGGGGATGCAGAGGTCTGTCCACGTGCAAGTGGCTGGAAGCCAAGACCGCAAGCAAGTGTGCAGAGACAGTCTCCGAGCCGCGGACCCGGACTAAGGCAGCACACCAGTGCGGTGTTGGGGTCCAATTGGGCAGCGGTTGTGAAGTTCGCGTTTCGGAACGGCGTGTGCAGCCTTTTCTTGGTGTGAAAGTGGCCGCTGCGACTGGGAAATGCAGATGAGGCCCGGGCCAGTGCAGTTGGCGGCGCGCTTTCCAGAGTCGAGGCCGCGTCTTGCTTTCGGCCAGAGCGTGGGGTCTTCCCAGCAGATCCGCCTGGGTGGATTAGGACCGCTTCTTGTTTGGGGGGCTTGACGGCCTGGAGCCAGTGCAGCAGGGGCGGTGCTGCCCTCGACTGCCTCTGGGATACACCTTACCGTTTCTCAGTACTTCCCTTGGGGAAATGACCGAGTTGCCCTTCGGAGAGGTTGGGCCGGACCACGGCCTTCTGGACTCTTTCCCAAAACTTCCTTTTCAGAAATCTGTGCTACTTGAGAAGTTGGAAAAGTGGTATCTCTTGGTTCCTTTTCTTTGTTGACCGGTGAAGTCTGTAACTTTCTATCAACAAGACTAATTGAGCTTTTGCTCTGAGCCAGAATCACCTTCCAGGCCCTGGGGGAGTTCACTGTCACCACGTGAAAATACTAAGGATTACGGTGTCTGTAACAACCTGATTAGGGTGTCAACCCTGAGAATACAAAGGATGAAATGTTTGCCTCTGTGGGAGGAAGGTAGGAGTCAAGATAGGTGTCCTGAAGGAAGTAGTATTAGAAGGAATCTTTAAATTTTTTTAGTTCACTGGATTCTAAAAATTACAAATGAACTGCATGCTGATTTTCCTTTTGTAAATTTATTTATTTATCTATTTATTTTTGGCTGCGTTGGGTCTTCGTTGCTGCGCCCAGGCTTTCTCTAGTTGCGGTGAGCGAGGGTTACTCTTCGTTGTGGTGCACAGGCTTCTCATTGCGGTGGCTTATTTTTATTTTTATTTTTGTTAACATCTTTATTGGAGTATAATTGCTTTACAATGGTGTGTTAGTTTCTGCTTTATAACAAAGTGAATCAGTTATATATATACATATGTTCCCATATCTCTTACCTCTTCCGTCTCCCTCCCTCCCACGCTCCCTATCCCACCCCTCTAGGTGGTCACAAACCACCGAGCTGATCTCCCTGTGCTATGCAGCTGCTTCCCACTAGCTATCTATTTTACATTTGGTAGTGTATATATGTCCATGCCACTCTCTCACTTTGTCACAGCTTACCCTTCCCCCTCCCTATATCCTCAAGTCCATTCTCTAGTAGATCTGTGTCTTTATTCCTGTCTTGCCCCTAGGTTCTTCATGACCTTTTTTTTTTTCCTTAGGTTCCATATATATGTGTTAGCATACAGTATTTGTTTTTCCCTTTCGGCCTTACTCCACTCTGTATGACTGTAGGTCCATCCACCTCACTACAAATAACTCAATTTCGTTTCTTTTTATGGCTGAGTAATATTCCATTGTATATATGTGCCACATCTGACTTTTTGAATTATGGTTTTCTGAGTATATACCCAGTAGTGGGATTGCTGGGTCATATGGTAGTTCTATTTTTAGTTTTTTAAGGAACCTCCATACTGTTTTCCATAGTGGCTGTATCAATTTACATTCCCACCAACAGTGCAAGAGTGTTCCCTTTTCTCCACACCCTCTCCAGCATTTATTGTTTCTAGATTTTTTGATGACTGGTGTGAGATGATATCTCATTGTAGTTTTGATTTGCATTTCTCTAATGATTAATGATGCTGAGCATTCTTTCATGTGTTTGTTGGCAATCTGTATAGCTTCTTTGGAGCAATGTCTGTTTAGGTCTTCTGCCCATTTTTGGATTGGGTTGTTTGTTTTTTTGTTATTGAGCTGCATGAGCTGCTTGTAAATTTTGGAGATTAATCCTTTGTCAGTTGCTTCATTTGCAAATATTTTCTCCCATTCTGAGGGTCTTTTGGTCTTGTTTATGGTTTCCTTTGCTGTGCAAAAGCTTTTAAGTTTCATTAGGTCCCATTTGTTTATTTTTGTTTTTATTTCCATTTCTCTAGGAGGTGGGTCAAAAAGGATCTTGCTGTGATTTATGTCATAGAGTGTTCTGCCTATGTTTTCCTCTAAGAGTTTGATAGTTTCTGGCCTTACATTTAGGTCTTTAATCCATTTTGAGTTTATTTTTGTGTATGGTGTTAAGGAGTGTTCTAATTTCATACTTTTTTTTTTTTTTTTTTTGGCGGTACGCGGGCCTCTCACTGTTGTGGCCTCTCCCGTTGCGGAGCACAGGCTCCGGACGCGCAGGCTCAGTGGCCATGGCTCACGGGCCCAGCCGCTCCGTGGCATGTGGGATCTTCCCGGACCGGGGCACGAACCCGTGTCCCCTGCATCGGCAGGTGGACTCTCAACCACTGCGCCACCAGGGAAGCCCCTATTCCTAGATTTTTTATTCTTTTTGTTGCAATGGTAAATGGGAGTGTTTTCTTAATTTCACTTTCAGATTCAGTCTTCCTATCCCCCAGCCTTCCCTCCTGACCCCACCTGAGTGGAGACCTTGAAAATTGTTCCCTGAGGGCCTTTTGTTGCCAGCCAGAAGCTAAACGAGACAGGTGCATCATCCCCTTTTCCCTGCTGAGATCCTTCTGCCTACTCGCCAGACCTTTGCTCATCCAGGATCAGTCTCTCAAGCATTGTCTCCCTAATGACCATAGGATATACTGTCACACTGTGGTTTGCTGGACTATTCTTCCTATTTTTAGGTGGTTAATGGTTTCCAGTATTTTGCTTTAGCAAGGGTAATGATTGTTAGTATAGTCATTGGAATCAAATACACTTGGATTCATATCCCAGCTCTGTCACTCTCTAGCTGTGTGACCTTGGGGAAGTGTGTGACCTCTCTGAGCTTCAGTTTCTTTGCCAATAAAATGGGGAGTGATAAAAAGCATTGCTTCCTAGGATTTTTATAAGAATTACATGAGACAGTTAATATGAAGCATTGAGTACATGCTTAGCACATATTCATTGCTTAAGTATCAGCTATTAATTTTGCAAATATTGTGTCATTTAGGATTAAGTGGGGACAAAGGGATAATTATCTAAGCTTCACTTTTCTCATACAAAAAGGTTGGTATTTGGGGGTCCTTATGTATTAAGAGTCTCTGAGTCTTGTTTCTGAGGTTTTTGATGAAATGGGTGTTTAGAGGAGAAAGAAGTAGTTGGAGTGAGCAAAGAAGATTTCCCAGCAGAGCTAGAGTTCCAGGTTTGCATTATATTGAACTTGACCAAGATACTTACCTGTCTGGAAAGTTTATTGTGGCCTGACTTTGCCTCTTTACTCTAATCTTGGGTTTTTTCATTAATGCTTATTTTGTTAGGCCTTGTGTTTTATTGGCTGTATTGTGATGGACAGAGCTTCTGCTTCTAACTGTGTGTTTTCTTGCAGGTCTGTGTGAACTGGAGAAAGTCTGACCTCCCTGCCTGGGAAAAGGCAATGCTGGAATTTGCACTTGCTATTTCCCGAGTTGATGACATAACAGATGACCATTTCAAAAAGCTCGAGGTACATGGATTCAACCAAGAAGATGCCTGGGATATAGCTGCAATTTCAGCTTTTTATGCCATGTCCAACTGCCTTGCTCATTTTGTCAGTCTTGTTCCCAACAAAGAATTCTATTTGATGGGCAGAACCAATGATGTCAAAGACATCAGGAGTGAACCTGCTGCTCCCAAAGTATAAAAGTCTGAACAGAAAGGCCAGTGTTTACATTTCCAGCACATTGCATTATAAGACACCAGTTGGGAAGTAATTTTTTTAAATGTTTAGTCAATGGATAGGGAAGAAAGTAAATAAATTTGTTCCCTGCCTGCTTGATGAGATAGATCCTAAGGGACATGTGATATCTGGGCCTCGGGGAAACCTTTTACTTTTTTACTTTTGTTGTGATCTGAAAGGAGCATCAGAGACAAAGGAGTTCAGAGGATGCTTTAGGCATTTCTGATGAACTGATATCTGTGAATTTCAGCAATTGAAGTTGAACATATTTTATCTTTTAAAAATAGTGTTACATAGAAATTGGTCTATATAGACTGTGTTTTTTTTTGTTTTTTTTTTTTTGGGTTCGCGGGCCTCTCACTGTTGTGTCCCCTCCTGTTGCGGAGCACAGGTTCTGGATGCGCAGGCTCAGCAGCCATGGCTCACGGGCCTAGCCGCTCCACGGCATGTGGGATCTTCCCGGACCAGGGCACGAACCCGTGTCCCCTGCATCGGCAGGCGGACTCTCAACCACTGCACCACCAGGGAAGCCCTAGACTGTGGTTTGAAATCAATTCTGTGTTAACATGGTGGTATATAAAGGCTCTGAAAGGCAGTGGGTAAACAGAAGCAGGCACCAAGTTGTTCTATCTTTAGTGCCTTCTCCATTAACCTCCAGTGATTTTTGTTTAAATCATGGTCATCTCAATAGAATTTTAGTCCTTATGTAGTTTATCCTTATTTTAGGTTTTAGTAAAAATTATTTGGAACAAGAAGGTGCTCATATTTTAAGAAGTATAAGAAAAAACCAACCCTGACATTACTAAGCGACTCATTCTGCATGTTACAACCACCACTGCCTTAAGTGTGTGGCTGTCTTAACTTTTCAGGAGTCATTTTCATTATCTAACTGATAGAGGTACATGCAAACCTACAAAATGTCTTTGTTTCCATTTGACTTCTTTAGATTCTCTAAATTGCCAGGGAATAGTTCTTAATCAGTTTGAGGGCGATAGTGAGTTAATTTTGAATTGCCTGAACTGTGAAACCTGGTTATCTTGAGACAGCACAACTCTTGTTGCAGAGCTTGTGTTATTCTGTTGGAACTATATCTTAAATACCTTGGAATAAGTAACCTTTTAAAACTGACTTTTGAGGGGAGGAGGCAGGGGCATAAAAAAAAAAGGAAAAATATTGAGTTTTATTTTACTTATTGAGAAAGTTAATAACATTGGTGAATATATCATGGTCAAGGTTTTATACACCAAAATAATTTTAGCCATTGGCCAATAACTCGGGAATCAAGTAGAGGGCCTTTATTAAGTATCGGTTGCAGCCAGAAGTTGTAGGTCACTAAGGGACATTATTTGTTAATTATAAAACAGACCTCTACCCCTAACATGGGGAATATCTCCAGAGTAATGGCTGCCTTGATCTTCTCTGAACACTGGACACTTGCTTCTTGCCATTTTTCAGTCAGCTCATGGACAGGAGAGTTGAATAACTACTAACTTTGCTGGTGGGAGGAACTGCTGAATGTTCAGCCCTCTCTGAGTCTCATTCCTTTACTTTTGAGATCTTTCAGACTATCCTAAACAGTCACCAGATGGGAGCTTTCTATAACTCAGGTCTTGATCAAGGCCTAGAATGGTTGTCAGTTCTTATACCTACCTCTTCTTATACCTCAGGCTTCCCTTCATTGAAGACTCTCCTTCCCTCCCCAAGAAACACACCAGTTTGTTAATCTTTTTCTGCAAACAAGTCCTATGTATTTATCTTCAACAGCAGTGGTGAAGGGCCTTGCATCTGTTATGCCCTGCTTGGCAGAGGTAAGCAGGACTGACGGTGGGCTCTATTGCTTGTAAGGCTGAATTGATTCAGGTCTTCAGCTCCCCTCAGTGACTCCTGACTGGATATATGTTCCTTCCTGCAGAGAGGAAGGCTTTGGCCTTGATAAAGTCTTGACCTAGTAGGTCAAGTAACTGGGAGTTGGGCAGAGCTCCAGCGCACCAGTAAGCCCCATTTTCCAGGCAATGTACAAACCAGGGCTTTTTAGTGCAGAGGTTAACCCGAGTCCCTAGATTCCCAGGCTGTGTAGGCAGTACACCATGCTACTTACTATGCGTGAGCAGCCCATAATATGGTCATTTCTTACCTTCGTTGGTCTCAGTATAGAGATGATTATGTAAACAGTACATAATCATACCCAGCCTCTTGGACTGACTAGTCAGGCCCTGTAATCCCCAAGGACACAGTCTGGTCACTGACAACCACATACTGATAATGTCACAAGCGGTGCCCAGATGCTAAAGTTACTCTATGCAGCCCAGACCCTGGGCATCCTCAGTTGCGCGCCCACGCACCTAGTCGCTCCAGACCTCCAACCCTCCGGGATGCGGTACCCACAGTCGGGCGGTGTCCCTGCTTTCTTGGTCCCCAGCGGATGATGGCCGAGAGGCGGCTCGGGTTTCCCAGCCGGTGGGGTTAGGCCGCCGCACGCCGGAAGTGGCGGCTGGGGCGGGAGCGCCGAGGTGTCGGCGGGCGGGGCAGCAGCCAGGAGCTGGGGGTCGGTGCGTTGGTCATGTTTCCCTTCGGGCCCGGTAGCCCCGGAGGGGACAGGGCGGCCGGAGCCGGGGCTGAGGAGCCGGCACCCCACGCGAGACAGGCTGCAGCTGCCGGGCCGCTCCCTTCTCCGCCCCCGTCGCTACAGCCGGGGGCTGACGCAGCCCCTCCCCCGTCGCCCTGCGGGAGCCCTCGCCGCCCCTGCGCCCCTTCGCAGCCCCAGACTGGGCGCGCGGGGGAGCTCCGGCCGCCCGGAGCTCTAAAGTCCTCAGCCGCTTCCGCCCAGGGAGAGCAGTCACCGCCCTCCCCGCCGCGCCGGCAACCCGGGCCTGACTGCAGGGCCGGGAACCGGGGCCGGCACTGCCTCAGCGCCCGCCTGGGCGGCCCTGGCGCCCAGCTGTTCGGGTGGCTGAGAGAGCGCAGCCTGGGCCGCGGGCTGTTCGTGGATCCGGCACGAGACAATTTCCGCACCATGACTAACCTCTATGGTTCCATCCATCCCGCGGACTCGGTGTACCTCAGCACCCGCACCCATGGGGCCGTCTTCAACCTCGAGTACTCGCCCGACGGGTAAGCGCGGCCCCTCGGAGGGCGGGGACCCGTCTCCGCGTGGCGCGGCTGCCGGTGGGCGGCTGCCCGGGGCCCGCTCGCTCGGCCCGGGCCGGGGTTTGAGAGTCCGTTTGGGGCGGCCGGCCTTCGTGCCCCTGGCTCTTTATGAAGCACTCTGTCGCTATTGCAGGCTCCGTCCGGCCCTTGGAGGTAGGCGAGCCCGGGACTGGTTTGCTCCCCTTCAGGACCGGCGCTCTGTGAAGGAGAAGTGCCAAAAGCCCCCCGACAGGTCTGTCAGAGCCAGTCCAGAGCTAGGGTTTGCTGGCACACCGTAGATGCTCAATAAGTACACTTTGAATAAATGCCCGTTCTTTCCCTGTCACACTAGGCTTGTGTTTTTCCCACCTAAGCTTGGTCAAGGGTACGGAGCCTGCAGACTCCCTGTTCCCTGTGCTGACTTGCCCTGAGGGGACAAGTGCGCGGTCCGTCGTTCCTTTGCTCCAGTAAGATACTAAGACACTGCAGAGAGGTATGTTGTGATGTGGGACATCTGTGAAGTTCCACGCTAGACTACATTCTTCTGTTAAGGGTATCCAGCCTTTCTCCTGGCTGACTAAAATTTCATGTTTGGCCTCGGTTTACTTTGGGCTGTGGAGAATTTTCAAAGTGATATATGTATGTATATATATATTTTTTTACTGAACGAGGTAGTTTATTACTCAAAGGGTGAGAATAATCAGGATATGACGTTAAATTTATGAGCGCAGTCAAATTTCAAATTGTGTACATGTGCACATACATGAGCAAAAGAAGCTTTTTTCTCTCTGAGAAGGTGAGTAAAGCTAGATTGTGTTTTTCTCTTTGCAGTAACTGAGGAACAAGGGCAGAGCGTGGTTAAGGTGACTCAAAAGAAAAGAGGGATACAATTCAACTAACAAATAGAGGATTAGTCTTCAAGGAAGACATACAGGGTTCTCAGAAATTTGGCCAAGATCAAGTATAGAATATTATTCTAATTAGAATAGAAATTTCAAGTAAGGAAAGGACAGATTAACTAAATCTAAGTTGTAACTGTAAAGCTCACCAAGTTCGCATGGTTAGCACATAGGAAAAAGAGGATTTGAACTCAGGCAGTCTAACTCCAGAGTTCTTAATCACTGTACTAATACCAAATTACATGGATAATTACCTTAAGAATTAGCATTTTCCTACCTGAAGATTAATTTAAAATCTATTATAACAGATATAGTCTAACGTTAAACATGGCATGTTCATCTATTTTGAATACTTGTACCGTTAATCTTAAAATACCACTTTTTCAATAGGGAGTTGCTTTTCAATTTTCTGTAGCAATGAAAACCATAATTTACAATTCTTATAAATATATAAATTGGTGCTTATTATTCTGGAGCACTGAGGGAAGAAAAAATCTGTTTCCCTCATTGGCTCAGAAGCAGCTACCAAAATAAAAAGCTATAATTTCCAAGATTGTTCGCTTTCCTGCTGACATTAGTGAGGCTGGGGCACCAAGCATGAAGTACACCAGAGCCATTTCAGCTTCTGCTTTCAGGAGAACATAGAATGGTAAATAGAAAAGGACCATATCATTAGGGAAAACACTTTATTTCCAAGTTTCTAAAATAGTATTAAAACAATAAGGGAAAAATGCAAATTATATAAAGTAGTATGACGGCACATCAATCACAACTTCCTAACAAGCCCTTTCAACATTCAGTGCTAATTGCTGAAACACTGAAATAAAGTGATGTTTCAATTATTTGGTCTTAAACAATGACAGGTTTAAGATTCACCTGATTAAAAACCATCCACGCCAATATAATAGCATATCATAAGATAATTGGCTGACAGTTTTTGCAAATGGCAGTTGTTAACATATTTCTTCCACACATATAAATGTTGTGCTGAGGAGGGGAGTAAGATGTTTTCTGCCTTTCTTTTATGATGGGTTGTAGAAGCATCCATCTCTTCCTCTCCTATATTATCAATTTGTGAAGTTGGACTACAATTCATTCTCTCCTCTTCTTGCCTCTGGAGTCTGTCTGCCACAGCTTGGATAGCTTCTGTCCATTCTTCCCTTTCCTCTGGAGTGTCTACATGAAATGTTCTCTCTATTAACAGTGGTCCACTGGAGACATCTGATAATAAATGTGTTTGGCTTTGGTCGTTCTGTTTTCATTAACTGGCATTTTGCTACTGAAAAGTTGTTGAGGGGATAAGGTAAATCCATATCTTGGGATTTCTCTTTATATCCTATGAATGAGCCATCTGTCTTCAAAAGGAAATATCTTGGCCTCCAGTTTTTTATATATTCTCCCCTCTTCTGAACCCAACCTTCTTTCACAGTGGTAACGTTGCTCATGATGGTGCCCCTCTGAGCCCCCAACTTGGAGAAAAGGTACTTTGTGATACCACCTTTGAGGTTTGGATTCTCTGCTGCTGCTGCCCTTCCCACTCTGTAGTGATGACTCACAGCCTCCAAAGTCAGCGGCTGCCTGCAGCTGCTCTGTGTGTGTGTGGGGGGGGGGGCGGCGGGGGGGGGGGGGGCCGGGCATTGGGCGGCGGGGGGGGGGGGGGGGGGGCGAGGGGGGGGGGGCAGGCATCTGGCTGCAGGGGAGGGAGGGAGGGAGGGAGCTGGCCGGGCCATGGAGCTGGAGCGGGAGGCTCAAAGTGATATATATATTTTTTAAACTTTGTTTTGTGAGTACAGGGACAAGTTCAACAGCAATCAAAGGAAAAAATTTACACATGGTTCCACCATGAGCGGACATAGATAATACAACTCTTACCCCATCAAGGCCTCTGGATTCTTAGTCATTTGCTTAGCTGTTCATTCATTCATTCATTCATTCCCTCCCTCGTTCAGCAAATATTGGGTTGGCCAAAAAGTGCCTTCTGTTTTCACCAAGATCTTTATTGAACAACATAGTCATCCTTTTTTTCTACTATCTTCTGGCATTTTTCAGGCAACTTCATAATTCCATCTTCCCAAAACTTTTTATCTTTTTGAGCAAAGAACTGTTCCAGGTGCCTTCTACAGTCTTCCAGGGAATTGAAATTTTTTCCATTAAGAGAATTTTGTAAAGACCTAAATAAATGGAAATCTGAAGGTGCAATATCTGGTGAAAACGGCGGATGAATCAGAACTTCCCAGCCAAGCTGTTAACAGTTTTTGCCTGGCCATCAAAGAAACATGCAGTCTCACGTTATCCTGATGGAAGATTATGCATTTTCTGTTGACTAATTCCGGACACTTTTCATTGAGTGATGCTTACAGTTGGTGTAACTGGGAGCAGTACTTGTTGGAATTAATCATTTGGTTTTTTTGGAAGGAGCTCATAATAGAGGACTCCCTTCCAATCCCACCATATACACGACATCACCTTCTTCGGATGAAGACCAGCCTTTGGTGTGGTTGTTGGTGGTTCATTTCACTTGCCCCACGATCTCTTCCGTTCCACATTATTGTACAGTATCCACTTTTCATTGCCCGTCACAGTTTGTTTTAAAAATGGAACGTTTTCCTGGGCTTCCCTGATGGCTTAGTGGTTGAGAGTCCGCCTGCCGATGCAGGGGACACGGGTTCGTGCCCCGGTCTGGGAAGATCCCACATGCCACGGAGCGGCTGGGCCCGTGAGCCATGGTCCCTGAGCCTGCGCGTCCAGAGCCTGTGCTCCGCAACAGGAGAGGCTCCAACAGTGAAAGACCCTGCGTACTGCAAAAAAAAAAAAAAAAAAAGGAACGTTTTCATTACGTTTAAGTAGAGAATCGCATGTAGAAATACGGGGAAGAAGGTTTTTTTGCTTAACTTATGTGGAACCCAAACATCAAAGTGATTCACATAACCAAGCCGGTGTAAATGATTTTCAGTGCTTGATTTGGATATTTTGAGTATGTCGGCTATCTCCCGCATGGTATAACGTTGACTGTTCTCAATTAATGTCTCAATTTGATGGCCATCAACTTCAGCTGATCTACCCAACCATGGAACATCGTCCAACAAGAAATCTCCAGCATGAAACTTCGCAAACCACTTTTGACACGTTTGATCAGTCACAGCGCCTTCTCCATACACTGCACAAATCTTTTTTTGCATTTCAGTTGTGTTTTTACCTTTCTTGAAATAATAAAGCATAATATGACGAAAATGTTGCTTTTTTCTTCCATGTTCAATAATAAAATGGCTACACAAAAATTCATCAATTTTGATAAGTTTTTTTAAAAATGCACACTGATATGACAGCTGTCACATACAATCTAACAAAATTGTTTTGAATGAAGTTAAAGACACCTAAGGGCTACTAGAGCCATTTTACAGAAAAAGCTGAACAGCCTTTTGGCCAACCCAATATTTGTTGAGCACTTGCGGTGCTCCAGAGGCAGAGGTGGCAGTGGTGAGCAAACCAGCTAATGGCACCGCTTTCATTGGTCTTGGGACGTATTGGTTCGACTAGACATTAATAACCATACTAAATAATTTCTTAATGTATATTTACAAATTGTGATACAGGCTTGAAAGAATCTGTTGTGGACTAGAGTTTTCAAGGTTTCCCTGAGAAAGTGACACTTGACCTAGATTGGAAAAATGAGTAGAAGATAAATTAGTCAAGATAGTGTTTGGAAGGGGATAGAAATACTTTAGGTGGAGGAACTGGTATGTCAAAGGACCTGTGGTTGGAGGAGCAGCATATCATGCTAGAGAAGCTGAAAGAAGATAGGTTAACAAAGTAAAAAATTGGGCTGAAGAAAGACATAAAATGTGCTAACAAAGGAACAAAGCAACAGAATCTGGAATCACTGAGCGAGTACACCCTGTTTCCTTTCACTGTTGCAAATGCTTTTTCTTAATCAGACTCAGTTCTGGGATCTCTGGGGTTTCTCCCTATAGCAGTTGACTTGTAACAGTGACTGTGCACCTGAATACAGAGAAAATTGGTGAGGGGAGAAACTGTTTTGCTGAAGTTTATCCATGGAACCTCCTCTCCCCACTTCCTTCCTCAAGC